GATCAATGGATCAAGTGCTGGGATGCCAGATTTAGCTGTGTGGTCCTGAGCCAGTCACTTCACTCTTAATTCTTCTCTGCTATAAAACAAAGAGCTGGCAGCTTTTCAGCTGAGCTGACTGTTGGGGATATTCAAAGTGGGTATCTCTTTACTTGGAAGATTTTATAAGCTATCATCTATGTGCCCTGTTTGCCAAAATAAGTTGTTATAATGATCAAAGCAGATGGTATATGAGAAAGTGTTTTATGATCTATAAAATGCTATACAAATTTATATTATAATTTTGACACTGCATGCTTGGGTTTAATGCCAAGCCTATGAACTTTTAACTGTCATGTCTTAAACAGGAATCGAGGGGAAGAAAAATGACAGATTCATTCTTTTTTTTTTTTAAACTTGTGGTGCCAGCAGTCTTACCATGGCCTTGTACACTCCAGGAACCTGTTCCACCGCTGGTCTCTTTCCCCTGTCCAGACTGTTTTCGATATAGAAAAATTCTGAAGCCAGAGATGATGGCACAAACCCAGGACACCACCCTGGGAAGCTGAGACAGAAGGACTATAAGTTTGAGAATTAAGTATATTAGTTACAAGCATGACTGAAATTGAACTGCTTTCTGTGTGTGTCTTATAGGAAGGCCTTATGTGATCCTACTGTATTTTCTTTTAATTAGAAGATACTCATTTCTAAAGAAATTTTTATTTCTGGTGTATGTAGAAGTATTTTGTCTGCATGTATGTATATACACCATGAACATGCCTGTGCCATAGAGAACAGCAGAGGGAGGGCAGATCCCTGGAACTGGAGTTAGAGATGCTTGTGAGATACCATGTGGGTTATTGGAAATAAGCCTTGGGCCTCTGCAAGAGTAAGTGCTCCTAACCTGTGGGCTATCTCTTCACCCTCTAGAAGACCTTACTTTTAACCGACTGTTATAAGTTTTCTTATCATTCTTCAGTTAGGTCTAATAGGAATAGAGAAACTCAGATCTGGGGCATAGTAAGGAGAGGTACAGTTGCCACTGTATAGTGCATGCCATTTTTCCTTGTGAAAAGTACCATTGACAGGAGGAGCTATCAAGTGAGAAGTGGCTAGATCTTTTTATTAAAAACTTGTCTTCTGGGGGTAGAGAGATAGCTCAATGGTTAAGAGCACTGATTATTCTTCCAGAAGACCTGGGTTCAACTCCCAGGACCCACATGGCAGCTCACACCTGTCTGTAACTCCAGTTCCAGAGCTTCTGACACCTCACACAGATACACATGCAGACAAACACCAGTGGAAACAAAATGAGGATAAATAAAATCATTTTAAAAAAAAAACAACAAACTTGTCTTCTGGTACTAGAGGGCCCAAGAAAGGTGATTCTAATCATGTGATTCATGTCTTTACCTGAACCCTAGCAAAGAACCAGGAAGTGTGTGTTTGGGGGAGCGATGGCACCTCTTGGTTAATTATATTAGAAAGATATATATCAGAGTCATTTACTGTCCACGAATTAGCCAGGTTCATTTGCACTGCAATGCACCCAGTTGCTTGGGTGGCTGAGGCAGGAGGATCACTTGACCACACAAATTTGAACCCAGTCTGGACAATATATGGAAACACTATCTAGAAAAAGAAAAAAGGAAGGTTTGGGTAAGAGATATAGGGAGGGAGGAGGGAAGGAGGGAGGGAGGGAGGGAGGGAGGGAGGGGAGGAGAGAGGAAGAAGAGAGTCAGGGAGGGAGAGAAAGAGAGACTGACTCTTGAGTGAGCCATGATTAGTGGAGAGGCCCTAGTCTACATCATGCTTCCTCATAACTGTGACACTACCCTAGTGTCACTTACCAGTGCAAGAAGAACAAAGGAGTAACATTCAGAAGAGCGATGAGGGAAAAAGCAAGAGGTGGGATTGATATTTAAAACTATAGTAAAGAATGCAGAATATTTAGAAAAACTAGACAGAATACACTGGGTAATTCTGAGCCTTCTAATACAAAGAGAAATAAAAGTTTTTAGTGGTGTGCCAGAGAATTATGAGAAGATTTTGGTTGTAGTCTATTAAAAACAAAAAAAGACTAATTCACTCCACAAAGTGCTGAAGCAGAAAGTTGATACTTGAGGTGACATTATCTCAATAAAGCAGGAACTTACTCTGAACTTTGTAGTCCCCAAAGAGGGGAGAAGACCAGGTAAATTAGGCTGAGTTAAGTTTTCATTTGTTTTTAATTATTTATGTTGTTAAACTATTGTTTCATACAAAATTCACTAAACTTGAGACTTACTTTTGTTATTCTAAGAAGTACATAGGCAGAATTATAAATAACTCCTAAAATACTGGCTTGGTTAAGTTCGCATGTAGACATTCTACAGTGTTTCTAAGAAAACTGAGATATTAGTGGGAGGGGGAATCAGAGACGTTTGTATAAAAATGGTGGAGTTGGACAGGCGAGATGACTCAGTAGGTAAAGACAGTTGTTGCCCCACCTGACAACCTGAGTTCCGTCTTTGGGATCCAGATGGTGCAAGGAAGGAGAGAATCGACCCTGGAAGTTTCTGTCTGGCTTCTACAATGTGGCCATGGCATATGTGTATGAATGTGGCCAGGGCGTGTGTATGAATGTGGCCATGGCATATGTGTATGAATGTGGCCATGGCATGTGTATGAATGTGGCCATGGCATGTATATGAATGTGGCCAGGGCATATGTGTATGAATGTGGCCAGGGCATGTGTATGAATGTGGCCAGGGCATGTGTATGAATGTGGCCAGGGCATGTGTATGAATGTGGCCAGGGCATGTGTATGAATGTGGCCAGGGCATGTGTATGAATGTGGCCATGGCGTGTGTATGAATGTGGCCATGGCTTATGTGTATGAATGTGGCCAGGGCATGTGTATGAATGTGGCCAGGGCATGTGTATGAATGTGGCCATGGCGTGTGTATGAATGTGGCCATGGCATATGTGTATGAATGTGGCCAGGGCATATGTGTATGAATGTGGCCAGGGCATGTGTATGAATGCTTGCACATGCACACTTACATTTTTTAACAGAGGAGCTGGAGACATGGGTCCAGTAGGTAAGAGCACTGGCTGCTCTTTAGGAAGGCCTAGGTTCAGGTCCCAGCACCCCCTTGGTGGCTTGATGGCTCACAGCTGTCTGTAACTCCAGCTCCAGGGGAATCTAACACTCCCTCCTGGTCTCAGTGGACACCAGGCACACACATGGTGCATAGACATATATTCATGCAAAACTCCCATATACATATGTAAATTTCTAAAAAATTTAAATGGTAGAGTCTTAGATCTGGGAGACAGCTCAGTAAAGAAAGTCTTAGCCAAGAGCAAGAACCTAAATTTAACTCTCCAGCCCCACAAAAACAAAACAAAAAAAAGGCCAGGCTTGGCAGCAAGTTCCTATAATTCTAGAGCTAGAGAGGAAGAGACAGGATCCTGGGGCTTATCGGACACACACACACACACACACACACACACACACACACACACACACACACACACGTCTTCTTATGAGCTAATCATCTCTCATTTAAAACAAAGTAGAGTTGAAATGCTCTTTTTGGCACTGGAATTGAACTGAGGGCATTGTGCTTGCTATGCACGCTCTCTGACACCGAGCTATGTTGGTCATCATCTCCCTTTTTATTTAATCTGAGACAGGGTCTCCCTAGGTTGCCCAGGTTGACTTTGAACTCAGGTCTTGAATTGTCTTGGGGTTGTGGGTCTGACCCACCAAGCCTGGCTGTTAGGATTACAATTCTTAAAGCACAAAATTATTGAAAAATATCTTGAATTAAAAAAAAACCCTTATCTTAAGCTATTCTTTCATGCCAGGTGATGGTGGTACACACCTTTAATCCCAGCACTTAGGAGGTAGAGGCAGGTGGATCTCTGTGAGTTCGAGGTCAGTCTGGTCTATAGTATGAGTTCCAGGTCAGCCAGGACTGTTTCACAGAGAAACCCTGTATCAAAAAACCAAAAACCATCCAACAAACAAGCAAAAAAAAAATTCTTTCATTTTGAAGACAAAAATTCCTTGTTTAAAAATGATGTAAGTGACATGAGCAGACGTTCTTGAATTCATCCTGACTTTGCTACTTGAATGCTTCCCCTGAGGGCTGCATGAAAAGCTCAGGCCCTGCCTTGGCATATACTCTCATTGCTGTTGGGTAGAGGCGATTTTTTTAACCAAAAATTTTTTCTGTGTTTTATATTTCTGACATGCTACTCTTTGAAACAAATCAGTATTTCCAGGTAGTCTCAGGGCATTGAAAATACAATATTTTAAATATATGTGTTACAGACTTTACCTCTATAATCTGAATACCTAGAATTCCTGTGTAAAGAATCAAGTACACTGTATTTAATAGTATTTACAACTACATCCTATGAGAATGTCAGTGAAAACACAGTTTACAACGTGGGTCTCACAGTAATATAAATAGCCTCTTGTGGAATCACATAGCCATCTATGGACTTACTTTACATTGGAAATGTGTTATACTTTGAGAGCACAGTCACAGGACTTGCACAAAGTGTATGTGTGAACTCCTGAGTGGACATTTTATATTGCAAATTATAGAGGTGATTTTTATAGCGCAAGCTGGGAACCAAACAGCCGTCTTGAGATTAGTTGACAGCCATGGAGTCAGTGGTTTCAAAGAGCTGCCGTGACTGTTCACCTAAAGCCATAAGAGTCGGACAGCTTCACTTTGACTGGAGTGTATTACTACTCCTGAACTTGTGGAGGACAGCCCTTCTGAATTTATTGTGATTGAAGGTTACAGATTAAATGGCAGTTTGGAAGTTTTATATTATTGAAATATTTATGGTAATGGGTATGAAGAGCATCAATAGAAATCAAAGGTTGTAAGTGGTCTTTGTTTGAAATGGTTGTGTATAAATATTACATTTGTTATGAGTAGAAATGTAACAATTAAAGTCTTCATATTCTTCAGTCTTTTCCTGATTCCCTTTTGTTTTCTACATTTTTAAAATAGTGTTTGCCAGCTCTGAGCCTGTGCCGGGATTTCAAGGGGACACCCTGCAGCTAGCGTTCATCGACCTCAGACAAGTAAGAAGTAATGACTCCCTCCACTCACTGTTCTCTTGTCTCGTTAGTTTAATCTCAATGGTACCACAATGCTTGTTTGCCCTGAAAACCCATCTTTGGAAGATGCTTTTTTTGATTGCTGCGTCCTTGTTACATCTCTGAACTTGTGTTCATACAGTGTCTTAACTTGATGGAGCACTCTCATAATAAGAATTTAATTTATTCATTTATTGAGAACATTTTTAATAATTCCACGGTCATATATAGAAATCATTAGAGTAACACTGTTAGAATTCAAGTTAAATGTTAATTATTACTAGAAAGTCATCCCTTGTTTAGACTTTTATTAATGGTAATATTTACACATTTTTGCATGCCTCCAGAAAAAGGGATAAAACTAGGTTTTAAAAAACAATTATTTATTCTTATATATTTTCTTTGGTAAGAATGTTCCAAGTTTAGTTTTCTGCCTTTTATTCACTTTTCAGTTTTGATGTTTCTGCTCTATTGTATTCTTTCTTTTTTTATCTCCTCCTATTTTTTCTTCTTAGTCCTTTCTTCCTCTTTCTTCTCCTTTTTCTTTTTCTTTCTTAATCCTAGGATTAAGGAGCTTAGTAAAGCTGGGGAGTCAGAGGGTGTGGAGGCAGGGGCAATCCCTTAGAGAGTTCAGGAGTGCTAGATTGACAGCAGGAGTGACTGCTGTCCTTGGCAGGAAACCATATGGAGACTGGATTAAAACAAAGGCCCTGGGACCAGTCTGTTAATGACACTCATTCCCCTTGGGGATGGAGGTGACCCGTGGTGAAACTCCACCCTAGTTACGAGCAGAACCTTACCACACTGGTGTCTACAGCAAGACCAGCTTGAGCATTTAAGGAACTCCTCTGAATTCAATAAATGTTTGAAATCAGAGCTCTCTTTGCTATTCATGTACAGCGGAAGTGGAGTAAATAGTTATGACACCTGTGTATTCATTATTTGGTGAGGAAGTGCCATTGAAGTTGCTACAATATAGTAGAAGGTAGTTTCGTTCTGTGGTGTTTAGATGTCCTTTGGGAAGACTGGAACCTGTGTAAGACTGTGAGTCCTGTGGAAATGAGTGCTGTCTCAAGTCAGGTTTACAAGGGTGCTAAGAAAGCACTCCTGTGAGGCTCTAACGTTTTCTGCATACAATCAATATTTAGTATTGTGCCAGCAAGGCCCAACTTCTGGGTGATGTGGATCTATAGACAGCTAGCCGTGCTAAGTTGAGAAGTCATCTCAGCTTTGCTCCCATGTGCCGGAAGAGATTCTCTTGCAGTAGGTCCTTTCAGAGGTTGGAGGAAGATGACTTAACATAGAAAGCAGAGTCTGTAGCAAGTTGGAAACAGGTTTCATCGAGTGTTCATTTCTCGGGCGGTTAATGGCCACTTATTAATCTTCTCCACCCCAGAGGAGATGAACTGATGTGAGTCATCTGTTCAGAGATTTTTCTGTTTTGCTGAATTTAGATGGTGGTAACTAGTTTATACATTAGCTAGTTCAAGGTCTGTAGGATTATGACTAAGACCACATAGTTTATGGAACTGAAGTTGTGCTGTCCCAAGGGTATGAATATGTGTAGCTCAGCTGACAGAGCAACAACAACAACAACAAACATGCATGGGAGTGAGGTGATACACTCCTCTTAGCTAGAGCCTGGCTCAACACCCCCCTCTACAAACAAAAACCACCACTAACAGGACCCGGCCTCTCCAGTTACTGCCCTTTGCATTGCATTAAGCGAAACAAAATTGTTCTCTCCTTAACCACACACCAAAAAAACTGTTTTTTATTTGTGTAGATGTATTTGACCCCAGTTACCTTCTTCTTTCAGAGTCATTTTAGATAATATAGATGGTCACTTTGCAAACCAGACGGTGGTGGCGGGCACCTTTTATCAAAGCATTTGGGAGTCAGAGGCAGGCAAGATCTCTGTGAGTTCGAGGCCAGCTGAGCAAGTTTTAGGACAACCAAAACTACACAGAAAAACCTTGTCTCAAGGAAAAAAAGATGGTTACTGTGTAAGGTGTATATTTCCCTAGGGGATTGTATTATCAAAGTACACTTATAAATATTAACATCCTAAGTCATGATTAAATGTACTTTTAAAATATGTGCACATAGAAGACATGAAGTTCTGGTTGACTTCCTCTTTTAATTGTAAACTGAGAGATTTTCAAGTGGATTTAGATACTGTCTCTGAATATGCATAATTACAAAACCTGTATTTGTGGGGAGTTGCTAAGGTGCCCACCATACAGGGTTAGCTGTGAAAGCATTAAATACCACTACCATATGGTAGTCAATGTGAAATGGAAGAGAGTAGTGAAAGGAAAACGCTGATGAACTAATTTTTAATTAGTTAATTTTTCTAGTCTTAAAAGGTACTTAAATTTTGTTCTTTATTAATGTTGAAATTTAGTGATTCAGTATCTCTAGACTTTTATACTCTAAAATGAAAGGAAACAGCTAATTCTTGTGTTTGGCTGTTCTGTCACTTTGACAATAAGTTAAATGTTTGAGTTTAGTGATTTAGATTTAATCAATTAAAAAAGGTAGCTGTATTTCACCACATTTGTTTTTAAAATTAATTTGTAATCACATTATGAAATATACAATATGAGAATAAGCAAAAAAAATCAAAATTGATCCTGAAAAACAAAAGTCTTGCATGAGATCATCCAAGTTCATTCTGTCCAGTGTTATTGATTTTTTAGCTACAGATGCCTTATGGTGGTGTTTGACATCTGACTTCATAAATAGGTATTATAGTGTCTTTACATTCTTGTGAAGGGGTTTACTGCCCAATACAAAAGGGCACTGGCACCTTTATTTACATTTCAGTAGCATTTCTTCACTTTCCTTTCTCTTTCCCCCTCTGGCCTGTGATCCATTTCTGTCTTAATAGGGTAGCTGACAGTTCTTTTCAAGTGTACTTAGAGAAGCAAGCAGCTCTTTTCATAGCATGTATAAGGGGTCGTGCTTCTGGTTTCTAGTTTGAATTTGATACTGCTTCATGAATTGCTGGGTATGAAAGATTAGGAAGTAGGTCCAGTGGTCGAATTTTACCTGCCCACCCGGACTTTGCCCTGAGGTCAAACTCCCGATATTTGCTGCACTGAATAGAGGAGTTGATGACAAGTATGAGTTGATACAAAAGGAAAGTTAGAACCATATCAAAGCTGAAGGCAAGAGAGTTGGGACTCAATAAGAGACTGTGCTTAAAAGATAGATCATCAGGAATGCCCTCCTCTAAAGGAAAGGAAATAGCTGACCTGTGAGTGAAAAGACTTCATCATCCTGCCAATCACAGACTTGCTAATGGAAGCCAGTTATCTCAACAACATCTTAAGACCTACCAGCCTAACAGACAGTGTGGAGGATTAGCAGTCCTGGTGCTGCTGTGGGGGTGTGCTGCCCAGCCATTTAAACACAATCTGTACATGTAAGGGTTTCTGACAAATAAAAGTTGTCATCTTCCTGTATGAAATTAAGTCGTAGAATGATAGCATTTTATATACTATCCTTTTTTTTTAATTCAGAGAGCATTTTTTTAAATATCAAGTGAACTTAAATACGTTGGCATTCTTTTGACGATATACAAAAACCTTAAGGTTTGAAAGCTATTTTACTGTAAGATAATATGCCTAGTATATAGTACTCAGAGGCAACCCATTCCTAATACAGTAGCAATATTTCAGTAACTATCACTAGAAAAAGAAATACTGTATATGAGTGCATTTTCTGAGTAGCTATGATTGATAAGGTTGTATTTTAATCATAAAACCTTTAAAATTTTGCCGTTTGATGAAAAAAATGTGAAGTGTTCAGTCTGTATAGCTTGTGAGCACGATTCTTGCAGTTGAACACCCCTGGCTTCCCTGATAATGGCATTAACTCCTAAGGGGTGCTGTAGTTTTGTGGTGAGTTACTGCAGCTGGTGAGATAGTGCTTCATTTGAGTTTTGATTCTCCTTTGGATAGCATGTAGAGGTTTAAATGATTGAATGGTAGAGCAGTAAGGTGAAGTTGTAGCTAACAAAACAATCTCTTGACTCAGAAAATGTTGGCTGAAGTCTTCTCATCACTCTTGAGCAGTATTTCCTGAAGTGTCTTTCTGGGAACATTGATTTCTTAGGATGAAAAACATTTCTTCAGAAAAGAATTCCAAGGTGGGAGTAGAACTGGCAAGTAGAACACTTGCCTAGGATGGGTGAGGCCCTGGGCTGGGTACCAGCGCTAGGAAAGAGAAAGACTTCCAACCCATATTAGCTTGAGAGGCACAAGAAACACTTTCTCTTTTATTTAGTTTTTCAGAGACTAACTTGGTACATTAGAATTTTCAAGGTCATTCTGCAGCAGCCCGGTATTTTCTAAGTGCTACACAGAATATTTGCTTTGCTCCTTTTGGGATGTATTATTTAAAACATCTGTCTGAAACGTTGTCTTCAGTATGACTCTAGAGATGTTTGTCTCTGATTGGTGCCAACATATTTTTAAACGAATAACTTTGACCAAAATATGAATTAGGTTTATTGTTGCATAAAACTAGACAAGTTGCTAAGATGACAGGGAAGACAATCAAAAAGCTCTAAGAACTTTAGAGCCTCCAAAGTGATACAGGCCATCGTCATTGTCTTTGGTTGCCCAGCAGAGCAGGATGGTAAGACCCAATTGCTGAATGTGCAACCCCACACACTTTGGTTGCAGGACATACAGCAATCGAGCTGGAGCTGAGCTGGCAGCTTCCTCCCTGCTGGCTGTCTTCATAGTACATGAAGGTGCTGTGCCTGTGGCTACTGGGAAAGAAAACTCCTCAACTGTTTTCCCTAGCTATGAACCCTGTGAACAATACCGACCTTCTAGGGAAGGTGTGTCCGCTGGTGCAATAGTTAAGGCCACTGGGGAAGTAACTAACCACTTTCTTTTTTTTAATGATTTATTTTTATTTTTATTCTGTGTGTCTGTGTAAGAGTGTCAGATCCCCTGAAACTAGAGTTG